GGATTAGGGTTTAATCCTCAAAACGGCCCAATCTATGGACAGATAAATTAAGGCCCATAAAAAGCCCACGAAGCTTGATTGATTGAAAATATTTCTTGTTTGTTCAACAAATTTTATACAACAATTCATGTTTTTCTCTACATACTGTAGAGTTTTTTTTGGTTCTTATTAAAATCGAAAACATAATAATACTAGGTAGAAATACAGGAAATACATCATTATATAGACACAACATAAGAAAAAAAAAAATTTATTAGTCTTGTTTGCGAGAATTGGTCTTTTCTTTATTCTTCTTAGCACAATATTCAAATAAACTTCCATCAAAGCAACCTCTCACAGCTTCTTTGGACAAGAACCCTTCTTCGTCTTTTGCAAGAATATAGAGTAATAGCCATTCAACCTTATTTGCAAGCCTTTCATAAACCAATATAACATAACCGATCAATTTAGTTTGGTTTAACCCGGTTAAATAACAATCAACTAATTAAAGAAGAAAGATTAATGTTGTGGGTACTAACCATCCAAACGGATCGATTGCCATTCGATTTCCCTCGGTTACGTTCCAAACCTCTTTGAATGTTAACTTATCCGAAACCGTTAGCGCGTATTTGCTAAATATGTTCTCGAGATTAACCGGAACATACCTATATATAATTAAAATCTTAAGAATTTAGTATCTTGAAAAAATTCGAAATTAATTATTCGGGTCCTTAGATAATATATGGTTGAAATGTTACCTTCCTTCGGTGTCATAGGTGCTTGAATCACTCCCATGCTTGGCTTTGTGTACGTTGTTGATATAGACAGGCAATAATGGTGATGGTATCCAACTCTATTTACATATATATATACCATTAGAAACATAATATATCAATCGTAGAAACAAAAAAAATAATATATCAATCGTAGAAACAAAGAAATAATAGTAATATTTAAATTTCTTTAGGGTTTGATTTCCATACCGGAAGTGTAACGTAGCTAAACGCTAAGTTTATGAGAATGCTCCAAAAGATAGAGGAGATTGGGTTGAAACCGAGATCACGAAATCCTGAAATTTATTTTATTTGTTATGGTAAATATATAACTAGGGTTCATGTGAATCAGAATATTGATTCTAAAATAATTAATTTTACCTGCATAAGTCTCCCAAGGATAGACGATTCCGTCGTCGTTCTGATCGAAGAAAGCAACGTGTTGTTGCATAACACTCATGCCTTTGCTCTCGTGACCTTCGGTTCCATTTGGATGCTCTGTATCCGGAGCTGCTAATGCTCTTGCCATATCTGATTTTTCATTAACAATTTAACCGTAGTATTATATTTTTTGTTATCCAATTAATAGTGTCTACGTACGACTTTGATTCTTTTAACATAATTAATGAGTAATGACTACTAACTCGATGTATGTATCTTATGGGGTTAATTTCCAATAAATAATACGAATGAATTGCCGATAGAAAAAGAAAAAATACCACTAACTAATTGATTAATTGTTACACGTTCATACATTTTTCTTACAAGAATTGTGGAATAGAAACTTAATATGATAGGTTGTTAAATTTATTTGTTTTAATTAACAACCACTACACATTAAAATCTAAAACATATGTAAGTATACTTACATGGTTTTGGTAATGTTTCCTCCAAATCGTTCCGAACTTTTCGCTGACCGGTGACCGGAGCTAGCGGCGCCGTCGTGGCCAAAGC